TGACTACATAGACTTAGAACTGTTAACAAAAAAACATAAAGAAGCAGGAGGTAAAAAATAATTATGGGCGACTTTAATGCTAAAGTCGGTCGAGGAAAAACTGGAAATATAGTAGGAAATTTTGGGTTAGGTAAAAGAAAACGAAAGAGGAGACAGACTAGTCCAGTACTGCCAGGAGAACGAATTAGTCATAACAAATACATACTACGACCTACCCCTACGAAGATTATACACGTGGACTTCTCCAAAAGATAACACCAACAATATAATCAGAAACCAAATAGATTTTTATAACGATTAACAAAAGGTTTCGTAATGGAGTACAAAGTGCAAAAACCTATCCAAGCGCAGATGCAGATACGGATCATAATCTATTACTAGCAAACGTCAACATTAAACTCAGGAAATCGGAGAAAAAAGTTTAAAACCACCAAAATTAACATCAAAAACCTAAAAGACGACAACTGCCAACAGCAACTAAACGCAGAGATAAATAAATTAACTGAAGGAAGCGTTGAATGGGCAGATATGAAAAAAGCCATACTAAAAGCGGGAAAGGAGGTCCTAGGCGAAGAAGAGAAAATAACTAAAAAAGACTGGATGACACCGGAAATAGTTGAGCTAATAACTGAAAAAAGAAAATACAAAAATAAAGATGAAAATAAATATAAAACCATCAAGAATAAAATCAAATATGAAATCAGAAAGGCTGAGGAGGAATGGATGAACAAAGAATGCCGGAATTGGAAGAACTCAGCAACAAACATGACACCTCAAACTTACATAAAAAAATTAAAGAACTTACAGGCAACACCAGACAAAGAAGAACACTCATAACAAGAGATAATAATGGAGAAATACTTACTGAAGAGAGCAAAATAAAGGAAGTATGGGAACAATATATAATCCATCTTTTCCATGACGAGAGAGAAAATGAACAAGATATAGGTGAAGAAAAACAATACCTACAAATTTTACCCTCAGAAGTAAAGAATGCCCTACAGAATGCAAAACAAGGAAAAGCACCGGGTCCTGATCAAATTCCAGTTGAACTGTTAAAAGCCTTAGATGACGGTAATATAAAGAGACTCACCCGAATTCTCAACCACATATATGTAGAGGGCAACATCCCGGAAGAATGGCTTAAATCGATATTTTTACCTCTACCAAAAAACAACAATCCCAAATCATGTAATGACTATAGATTGATAAGCCTAATGTGCCACCCTTTAAAGATTCTTTTGAAAATTGTTCAAAACCGAATTTATAAGAAATGTGAGGAACAGATAGATGAAACTCAGTTTGGCTTCAGAGGAGGCATGGGTACAAGAGAGGCATTATTTGCGTTGACGGTACTCTTGCAGAAATGTCGGGAATATAACAAGAGTGCATATGTATGCTTCATAGACTTTAGGAAGGCCTTTGACCGAGTGCAGCATATGAAGTTAATAGATGAATTAAAAAACATCAATTTAGACAAAAAAGACATTGAGTTTATTAAGGCTATATACTGGAACCAGAAAGCAGTAGTAAAGGTGAACGATATAGAAACAAATAATATACCGATTGCGAGAGGGGTTAGGCAAGGATGCGTCTTGTCTCCGACGCTTTTCAACGTGTACTCACAGGTCATATTCAGAAAAGCCTTATGGGAAAGAAAAGAGGGAATAAGAATTGGTGGAGAAATCATAAACACCATGAGATTTGCAGATGACACGGTAATTATGGCTGAGAGTATAGAAGATCTACAAACTTTACTAGATGCAATAAACTCTTGGTGGACAGCAAATAGAAAGAGTGACAAAATATAAATATCTGGGAGCTTACATCAACACAGAATTAGATCCAGACCAAGAGATCCGGGTACGAATAGAAATGGCAAGGGCAGCGTTCTTAAAATTCAAACAATTGTTCTGTGACAAAAATCTGAATATTGCGCTGAGACTGAGGTTTGTTGAATGTTACGTCTGGTCGCAATTATTGTACGGGGTAGAAACATGGACACTAAAAGCGCAAATAGTTAAAAAGATTGAAGCCTTTGAACTTTGGATATACCGGAGAATGTTGAGAATCCCATGGACTGCCAGGGTCACCAATGAGGAAGTGCTGAGAAGAATGGGTCGAGTCAAAAAATTGTTGAGAACGATAAAAGTACGCAAGACTGCATACCTTGGACACATACTAAGAAATAATAAATATAGTCTTCTGCAGGTCATCATGCAGGGTAGAGTCGATGGCAAAAAGGGAATAGGTAGAAAGAGGAAGTCATGGCTGCGAAATATTCGAGACTGGACAAACATGACTGTAGACGAATTATTCCACGTTGCAAAAGACAGAGAAGCTTTTAAAAATGTGGTCGCCAACCTCCGTTAATGGGGACGGCATAGGAAGAAGAAGAATGTGTTATTGGTTATTGGGTCGATATTCGACCTTATCAGTATATAATAAGTTCCTGATCTATCAACAAGTCCTCAAACCGGTGTGGACTTAAGGTATCCAATTAAGGTGATATAGCAGTGTAAGCAAGTGTCATAAAAAGATTTAAGAACAAAGTACTTCGAGGCATAGACGATGCCCCCTAGTATGTTCGTAACGATAACTTTCCTAAAGACTTAAATGTAGAAACCGTCACTGAGGTAATAAAAAATAAGCTGAGAACCACGAAAAAAGACTTCATTAACACGTAAATCAGGAGGTTCGTCAACTCTCAGACAATACTTGTGTGATTAGACGACTTGAACGAACCAAACTACGTGATCTGATGTGTACTAAACTAAGGTAATAAAACTAAGAACGCTAAAGAGTGTAACTTGGTATTTGGTACTAATAGATTCTTTAGTTAAGTTGGCTATAATTAAATTCCTTATTATCATATTAACGTCAAATAAAATGTAATATATATATATATATTATATATATATATATATATATATACATATATATATATATATATATATATATACATATATATATATATATATATATATATATATATATATATACATATATATATATATATATATATATATATATATATATATATATCCGTCATCAGCCCAGTAGTAGAACCCCATCGTCATCGATAAGTAGACACTAATCCCAAGGTATAATTCCATTACTTGTTTAATGCTGTTTACATCTGATTGATTTTTTAATAATTACTACGATTTTGTTTTTCTGAATTGAGATCGTCGTATTAAATTCTGTTGCTCTTGTGTTGAAACTGTGGATTAGTCTTTGTAAACTATCTTTAGCTAGTGCTATCAATAGTCGTCTGCATAACAGATTATTTTGACTGCTTTGTTCTCCATTCTTTATCTGATTAATTTGTTAACGCTTTTAATGACTTCATCGAAAATTAAATTAAAGAGCATATGGCTTAATGTACTTTCCGTAAGTTGTTCATCTTTCTTACTTCCATTTTCTTGTTTTGGTAGTTGTTTCAAACAGTTTTTATGATATCCAAGGGATCTTTTGTATTAAGTATCTAAAAGACGAAGTACATATTTTAGTCTTACTCTATCGAATGTCTTTTTTTTTCAAGACGATCAGACATAGAAACGCTAGTCTATTAACTGTAAGGATTTCTAGATAATTTGCTATTGTATGTTTTCCAGAATGAAATCCTTGTTGTTTATCTGCTATGCTTATGCTTTGATTTATTCGTTTGTAGAGTTTTAGTTGTTATAGGGTGATATTTAAAAAATTAATACCACTGCAGCCTTCTGACTATTTTTATTATTAAAAATTCTATTAAATTCTATTAAAATATATTCGAAAGTAGGATTAGTTCGATCTTTCTCGATTCTTACCATCTTTTATCGTGTTCTAGAACTTTGCTAATTGCTGCTGTTAATTGTTCCGTCAAGTTTCATTTTCAAAACACCAACCTAAATTATTTATTTTTCATAGCTGACTCCCCTCCTTATTTTTTTTTTCGAATGCTCTACTAATGACTGAAAAGAACGTTGTTTATTAGACGAAGCATTTATTTATTTGACATTTATAAAAAATTAAAGGCCAAATTTGAGAATTATGCTGTCAAAAGGTTCTTTGTTGTTAAAGAATATTTAATTAATACCTCCATGCGCGTATGTTTTTTTTATATATTCTATATTATGGCAGAAGTCAGTAAGGTAAGCTAATTTTTTTGTAAAATATTTAAAACATATTCTTCTCTATGAGTGTTTTCTACAGAAGTTTTTCAATTATCAAATATGAGTGCTCATTTTCTTACCAATTTAATATAATGTAATGTATATTAACCTTAACGTTGTTTTAGAATATTAAACCACAAACAAAAGCACCACAACTTAAGAAAGATTCCATTTCGTGGAAAATCCACAATTTTTCTTTATAAAAGTTAAGTTATAAAAACTTCTTTGACAAAACACATAAAAGACGGAACATTGGACTCCACAAAAAAACACATTAAAAGATTTGTATGTGGTGCGGGTGTAAGAACCCGACCATTTGGTTGGAGTTAAGGCGGCAGACAGAATTCTACGGAAGGCGGCAGGGGTAGACAGATATGATATGTCTCTGACTTGCTGTTAAATTGTTAGCATTGGTATATTCGTACTGGTAATCTCTTCTTTCAGAATTGGTAACAAGATCTTGCTATATCCTACTCATATATTTGCTACACAATTTATTTCATTTAGTAGGATGAGGACTGCTTCCTTGATTTTCCTTTTTTATTATCTGTTCCTTTCATAACTATTGATGCATCTTTTTAATAGATTCTGTGTTCATTATTCTCAGCATGTTTGCATATCTGAGATCTGTCAAAGTCTCTGTTTTTATTATAAGATACATATCCATTTATTCTAATACTTAGTGGTCAGTATTGTTGGGTTTAGTTTCGAATAAAATGTGTACACCATTGAAGACCGCTTCTAAGTCTACAAAACATATATAGACTCATTTATTTATATTTATTTTTATGAGTCATATTTTTGCCAATATGTCGAGTCTTCAAATTAATATATTTGTTTTAGGCGTTTAAGAGCAACAAAGTATCCCCTGATGTCGTATCAGCTGTTCCAGATAAATTATTACAAGTCACTTACAAGGCAGATAAGAAAGTTGAGCTCGGAAATGAACTTACACCGACTCAAGTACTTGAACAACCCCAATTAACGTACGAAGGAGAAGATAATTCTTTTTATACATTAATTCTTACTGATCCAGACGCACCCAGCAGAAGTAATCCAAAATCGAGAGAATGGAATCATTGGCTAGTAAGTATCAAAATAACTTTATGTTATTTCCCATCTTTCACTTTTGTACTACTCGTATTCTTCTTTTATTCCATAAAATTTCCATAGAGGTTCATTACCTTCAAATATTAATGAGGATTTGTTTTTAGTTTATATAAATTTCCTCTTTTAGGTAGTCAACATCCCTGGATCCAAAATATCACAAGGCGAAACCATAAGCCACTATGTTGGATCAGCACCACCCAAAGGCTCAGGACTCCACAGATACGTGTTTCTACTATACAAACAACCAGAAAAACTGAAATTTGACGAGCCCAAACACGGCCCTACCGACGGAAATCGCGGAAAATTCAACACCGAAAACTTTGCTAAGAAATATAAGTTGGGTAAACCCATCGCTGGAAACTTCTTCCAAGCTCAGTGGGATGATTCTGTACCAGCTAGTCACAAAAAGCTTGGTTTTTAGTTCAATTTGAACATATTGGTCGGTTCTACAAAGTTCCACAATTAAATAACGGACAAGCTTAAAAATAAAATTAATTAAGAAGCGCAGATAGCAAATATGTATCGTTAGTTGACCAATAATTTTTTTAAAGTATAATATTTATTGATCTATTACTTTAGTTGCAAGTGAAGAAGCTTTGTGAAACTGGTCATAAATACTCTTAAAGATTTGGCTACAAATTATAAAATTTTTAATGTAAATGGCTTAATTTATTTTTGTACCGATTATATTCGGTGTAGTTAAATTGTAGGAAAATAAATATTTTTATGATTTATGATATTTTTATTTTAAATATTAAATTTTAACCTTTTAAAGAGTCCAAGATGAAGTCTACCTAATAGATAGCTTTTTAATTTTAAATTATAATTTCAGTTCAAGATTTTGTTCATGTGTTGTGTAGTTCTTAATTGTATTTGTTCTTAAATTTTACATTTTAATATTTAACACCTGGATATCTCACATCATTCTTGACACGTTTCTCCTCAAGAACTTCCATAACGCCTCTTATCTAGTCCATAACGAACAACAAATATTTGATCGGTGATCATCATAACCTCTGAGGGTTATGCATCTACCGATATCTGTTAAGTTACGTGATTAAAATTGGTCAGTAAAAAAGGACATCTAAACAATTTCACACAAGCTTTGAGTCAATCTGCAGGGAACTGTGAACTGATTGTTGTGTGAGTAGATTACAAGTATGTATATTGTTTTGAATCTGATGTTCTATTGTTATGGCGAGCACGCCACTGTGTGTGTGTGTTTCATGTCAATATTCCAGATTCCTTCGGAGATGATAAACACCCACGCCGAGAATCTCTAAGGGTTTACGTTATTATCAAGAACTATGAGAGGTTTTTTAGATATATTTTGTAGTCCTTAAGTTAGTATAGTTTCATACCCTAAACTGTAAGCATATAAATAAAATTCGTCTATTTCCTTCAGAGTTTCGTTATTAATTCTCCAACGAACATAATATACCATTGTATAAAGAATTTATATAGAAGTGGCGCAGTCAGTAGGATTTCCAATTAGAATAAAGTAAAGCCTTTTTAATTGATTTTAATCGTTAATTGGAAAATTGGAGAATTAGTGACTTAGTTATTCGAGTTTAGAGTGCAAAGGCCACGAGGAAGGAAAACTGAAGGAACCCGTAAGCAACTTAGAAAAATTCCAAGTGCAAGGCCACTTGTTGTGTAAAGCCACAAAGTAATTCGGAAGTTCTGGGGAGGGCGCAACTAGCAAATTCGTGAAATCTTCTCAACCAGCTTCAGTGAAAAGCCACTCGACCCTGGAAACGGTGAAGCATTTCCACAGAAGAAGCAACAACATCTCGGCTACTATACCGACTGCATACAGTTTAGACTTTCAACCAGTTCCAGTGTAAACCCAGTTGATCCAGAAGATACAACGTTCTCCACCCATTCTCTACCCGTTCTAGTCTAAATACACTTGATCTGAGACGTTTGCTGCAACGTTTTCGACCCGTTCCGGTGTAAAGCCACGTTCTCACGGAAGTACTTGAGGTTAGTCGAATTATATTAATTTTTTATTTGTTTTCATTTTTTTTATTTACTCTGTTTCGCAATTTTCAAACTTTCAAGCTATCATATCTAGTATTTGCATTTTTTTATTTGTTTAATTTATTTTTGTTAATACAATAATTTCCGGTACCACCTCTAATAATTATATTAATTGTGACAAAGCTATCAAGCTTATAAATGTTTTTGATGGTTCTTCTTCAAAATTATATTATTTTATAGATTCTGTTGATTTTATTTTTGCAAAATTTGACCCAGCGGAATTGCAAATTTTTCCTTTTATTGTAAAAAGCAGGTTAGAGGGAAAAGCTCTTGATTTCATTGGCTCGAAAGAATTTTCGACATGGCACGAAAATAAAAAGTGCTCTCCTTTCTCAGTTTGGTGAAAATTTGGATTTGCAGTGTCTAAATTTTGAGTTATGTCACTTTAAGCAAAGTTCTAATGAAAAACCTACAAATTTCGTTGATAGAATTGAAAAACAATTAATTAGAATCAATAAAGTATCAAATACGATTCAAATTTGAACGATGTTGAGAAAAAATGTCTAAATAATTTTCACAGTAAGACTGCAATTCTGACCGCTATTACGGACATAAAAGAACCTTTGTGTCAAATGCTTCGCTCTTTAAATCCTAGTTTCGTTAATTCAAATTAAGTAAATCTTAAACGATTATTAAAACCAACAATATTTCAAACAAACAAATGACAAGTTTTCTAAATTAAATATAAATAATGACAATGAAATTTCGTCAAATACTGCAGGTACTCAAAAAACATTTTCTGATCCCGGTTCAACAAATCAATCGATAAATCCACCAATTAAAGTCTATTATTCCACCAATTAATAATCTATTCCAAAGTGCACTGTTTGCCATAAATATGGACATAAAGCAGAAAAATGTTATCGTAAACCACAATCTCACAATGTTGTTCATAATACCTATTGCGACAAACGATAATTCAGAAAAGAAATAGAAATCGAAGTTGATCATGATTTTTTAGAACAAGTTCCGCTGACAACTTTAAAGTTTACCAAGTAGCAAATAAACCGCTTCTTTACGCACATATTAAAATTTTGAATAATAAGTTATTAGTTGATTCAGAGGCAGTTATATCAATATTGAAACCCGGTAAAATTTTAGATTCTTATCACTTTAATCATGAATATTTAAAATATTTGGTATTAATAACGAACCAATTCAAGTTACAAAGAGCGTAAATTTTAAGTTATTTTCGAGTGTTCAGAAATTCTATATAGAAGACATAATTCTCCTTTTGATGGAATACTTGGTTATGATTTTTTAGAAACGAATAAATGTGTTATTGACTTTGGTTAAATACTTTATTTGCTAATCATGAGGAAATCCCTTTGTTTCCATCTGATCGGGAACATAATATATTGAGTCTAAACAATATACACGAACATCAAGTTCGAAGTAATAATGTTATCGACTTAAGTGAAAAAGTCGATACTATTGTAAGTAAACTAAAATTAGACCATCTCGATAAAAGATTAGAAACAAACATAAAAGATATTCACGTAAAGTTCCAAAATATATTCTCGTTACCTAACGAACATCTAACTTTTAGCAGCCGAATAAAACATTGTATCCGTACTAACCCTGAAAATGCCAGTCCGATTTATACTCGAAATTATCGGCACCCTCACATTCATAAAAAAGAGGTCAATAAACAATAGGGTGGGCCGATTTTTCGAAATTACTAAAATGTTAAAATGCAATTGAAGAAAAGTTGAAGTGTATAAAAACAAAATTTTTGATATTAAATATTAATAAAAAAAAATTATTTCTGAACTGCCATGACGTCGAAAGTTAATTCGAGAAGAACATATTACAACCTTAAAAATGCCTGAGTCGACTAATCTGGCGCGCTGTGAACATTTTAAAAAGCATTTTAAAATATTTTGATGACTCTGACGTATCCACAGATGTCTTAAGAGTAATAAGGTGTGATGGGACGAATGTTAATATTGGAAAGTTTAATGGTGTTATTTTGCAATTAGAAAAAGCATTTAAATCGCCCATTGCAGTGGCTTATTTGCCAGCTGCATAATGAATTACCTTTGCGACACCTTATGAATTTCCTTGATGGTAGTACGACTGGACCTCGTCACTTCAACGGACCTATAGGACAAGCACTCATTGGATGTGAGTGATGAAAATCTACCTGTTGTTAAGTTCAGTGTAATTGAATCATATGTACAGGAGAATGTGGATAGGTCTGATTTAAGTACAGATCAACAATATCTTCTTGACATGTGTGTTGCAATCTCAGAGGGAAGTATTGACAACAAACTTTCTAAACGGTGCCAAGGTAAAATAGTGCATTCCCGCTGGTTAACATTGGCTAACCGTATACTACGTTTATATGTTTTCCACTGTGGTTCCATCAGATAATTTGATTACCTTAGCAACCTTTATTTTTAAAGTGTGTGCTCCAGTATGGTTCCTTACAAAAACCAGACCGTCCTGCTTACATGGAGCCTTTAATTTTTGGAAAATGATTCAGTTATCTGGGTATTTACCACAACCCCTAAAGGATGTAATGGATCCAGTTCTATTGCGAAATAGTTTTTTTTCACATCCAGAAAATATGCTACTTGGAATGTTAGGAGATCCAAGAAAACATATTAGAGAGCTTGCTGTGCGCCGTATTTTTAAAGCTCGAACAAGTAACATAAATCAGCGACTACGAACATTTGAGGTTCAACTTGTGCTTAATATGAACGCTATGGATTATATCAATAGCGTTCAAAGAGGAAGAATATCAAACCTAAAGAAAGATAAAAACACGAAACAAGACAGAATTAATGTTGATAATCTGCGCATTGAAACCGTTGCGAGAGAGTATAGGAGACAAATGGACGAGGAAATGGAGAGCTTGGAGATGGGAGAAAAATGTAGAGGAACTGTCGACAAAATGTAAAAACATAACTGAGAAAGCAACAAAAATATTGGGGAAAACCAAACCAGTTAAAGAAAACGAATGGTTTGACAAGGAGTGCCAAGAAGCAACATATAACAAAAAAGACAAATCAAGCTGGATGCACAAGAAGAGCAAAGGAAGAATACCGGACACTAAGAAGAGAAGAAAAACGAATACATAGAAGAAAAAAAGACAATTTGAGCAAAAGCAGTTGGAAAGCACAGAATGGCTAAGAAATCAAAATGAAACTCGAAAGTTCTACAGAAATCTTAAACAAAATGCGCAAAGAGTTTAAGCCAAGAATAAGGAGCTGTAAGGATGTAGAAGGAAACATCCTAAATGATACAGCCTCAATCCTAAACAGATGGGTTGAATTTTTCGATGCAAAATTTAATGGCCATCATATCGAAGAAGCAGATAACACCCTAGCAAATCGAAATGATTGGAATCCTTTCAACCCAAACGAAAGACCACCTACCATCGAAAACGTTGCCCAAGCCATTAAAAGCTTAAAAATAATAAATCACCAGGAGTTGATCAAATTTGCAGTGAGCTCTACAAGAATGGTGGCGATGCCCTACTACAGACACTGCATAAGCTTTTACTTCTTGTTTGGCATAAAGAGACCATGCCTTGTGAATGGTCTCAAGGCGTGATATGCCCGTTACATAAAAAAGGTGACCAGCTCCAGTGTGACAACTATAGAGGTATAACCCTGTTAACAACTGCTTACAAAATACTAGTAAATATTCTCTACGAAAGGTT